GTAAGATAAATTTATAAATAACTATATAAAGAAATAAGCAGTTTAAATTAAGAAACTTCTGGGGCTGGTGTTGTGGTATGGTGTATTAAGCCATTGCCTGCAATGCTGGCATCATATATGGATGCCAGTTCAAGTCCTGGATGCTCTGTTTCCCATCTGGTTTCCTCTTTCTTTTTTTTAATTTATTGTATTTATTTGAGAGGTAGAGTTACAGTGAGAGGGAGAGATATCCGCGGGTTCACTCCCCAAATGGTCGCAACCGCCGGAGCTGCGCCCATCTGAAGCCAGGAGCTTCTTCCCGGTCTCCCACGTGGGTGCAGGGGCCCAAGCACTTGGGCCATCTTCTACTGCTTTCCCAGGCCATCGCAGAGAGCTGGTTTGGAAGAGGAGCAGCCGGGACTAGAACTGGTGCCCATACGGGATGCTGGCGCCAGAGGTGGAGGAGTAATCTACTGGGCCACGGCACTGGCCCCTAGTTTCCTGTTAATATGCCTGGGATAGAGTGGAAGACGTCCCAAGTCCTTGGGCCACTGCACCCCTGTAGGAGACCCAGATACTATTCCAGACTCCTGGCTTTGGTCTGGCCCAGTCTAAACCATTTACCTTCATGTGTAATTAAATTTGAAACAGAATAGCTAAATGGAGTCCAGAAATATCCTACTGGCAAATTAGAGGGTGGACTCATTTACCCAGATAAGGATTCTTAACATTACAAAGGGGAAAAAAGGTCCCTTGAAGTAGCACTTACTTAAGTGTTTGTTTACACATCATTACTTGCTTAACAGAGGACGAAACTAAAAGTTCAGTTGTTCCAAGCTATTGCTGATTAAACAGCAATCAGAAATGAAGATAAAGTGTAAGATTGTAATAACAAATGGACACTTATACATCCATTATAAAAAATCTCATTTTATATAACCCAAAGGGAAAATTCCAGAATCTCCAGGTCTCTGCAGGACACCCAGCCTCTTATTCAAACCACATTTAGCTCACACAAGTAACTGCATAGCTCTGAGCACCTGGGAAGTACGAGGAAGAGACAAGGGATTCTCATTCTTGGATTCTTGGCTCCACATTGCTGTGTCATTAATTCTCCCACTCTTTGGCCAGAGGAGAAAGAAGGGAGGAGAAATGCCAGGAACTTCAGCAGTCCGTGTAAAGGATCCCAATCACAGGAATCTTGATTCTGTGAACGGGAAAATGGGGTGACTGGGCAGGCCCATTGCTAAGGCCCCATCCAAGCCACTCTGTGTTTTCTCTTGCAATTCTGTGGCAGCAGCAGTTTTCCCTCTGTATGTCAGTAAAAGAAACCTGGCTTCCAAAAGGAAAGGCAATTTATTCAAGTTTGCTAAGCACGCAAATGAAGGTCCAACTCCATTGGGCTCCCAAGCCTATGACTTCCCCCTTACACATTCTGCCTCTGCAGACATAGCCCAAGGTGACAGGTGATGAAGATGTTACAGGCCTAGGTCTCTTAATCTTTATTCCAGTTTCTTGACCCTACAGAGATAAGGACTCAAGTGTCATAAAGAGCCATATATACAGTGCCCCAGTGAGAGCAGGATTCCTTTAACAGAGAGAGTGCGTGCATTCACAGGTGAGTGTGGTTACTCCACACAGATACCTGTCACGCAGAGAGCTGCCTATGAGGAGAGAGGGCAGGAGGAGTTCAGAGAGGACACGGGCACGGTCAAAGGCCTAACAGCAGCCCTCTCAGTATCAGTGTCTTTCCGAGATCGGGCTGGTGGAGTTTAGCTTGAGTGAGGCTCTCTGAGAGTTCGCTGGCACCTCCACATGTAGGTTAACTTCCACCTGGTCATCATAGTGTCTTCTTCCTGGTTCTGGATGGGACACAGGTGCATCCTGAGAAAGTGGGGTACAAGATTGACAGGGAAGGGATGGAGTTACAGTGCAGGGCTGGCAGAAAGCCCCACTCACATATTTCTCCATAATCTTCCTGCCTAGTTCCCCCAAATCACAAATAGAAAACGAGCAGATCCGCCTCTGTAAACATGATTTGAGGGCTCAGACTAGGTAGTAACAAATCCATGATTTGGATTAAAAAGTTCTTAGGTGCTTTAACCCTGTTCCTTCTATATTCACAGACAGAATTGGTATTGGTCCTACTAGTTAATTATCAGGATTATCCTTAGAGGTCTGACTTAAGGTTCAGATGAAGCAGAGAGAAGTCAGACTTAAGCAGCCTGTGTTCACCCCAAGCCCAAGATGGAACTGGGTACCGTTGATTGCTAGAATTTCCTACTACCCTGAACTCAGATTTTAGCTTTAGGAGATCACAAGTTGTAAAATCTATTCAAATGAATAGATTTCAAAATAATTACTGCCTGATGAATACTGAGATATTCATCATTTAAGCTCAGTCTTATCACATACTTCACCTGACATTAACCAGGCACACCATAAGTATGCCTGAAATTAATACAGTTGGTCTCTAGGCAACTCCAGTCTTTCCCCCACAACCCCATGGGTTCCATGAAACCATCAGTCACGTACTTAGCACTCTCTGACTTTTTAAATAATTAAAACCCTTACAGTCAGGTTTGTTGCATTTGTATTCATTTCCCTCACTCTCTTGAGGGATTTCTTTGGGTAGCTTTAAAAAAGATATTTTATTTATTTGTTTATTTGAAATTCAGTGTGACAGAGATAGGAGAGACAGAAAAAGGGGTCTGATTAACTCCCCAAATGGCCACAGCCACCAGGTTTGAGCCAGGCCAAAACCAGGGATGAGGAACTCCGCCTGGGTCTTTCACGTGGGTGGCAGGGACTGAAGTACTTGGGACATCTTCACAGCTTTTCCAGGCACATTAGCGGGGAGCTAGATCAGAAGCAGGCCAGCCAGGTTGGAACCAGAACTCCAATATGAGATGTGACATCGCAAGCCGTGGCTTCACCCTTGGTGCCATTATTTATCTTTTTTGAAGTTTATATAAGGGTTCAGCATTTATTGAATGATTTCTATGTGGCAAATAAATTCTCAGAAAGTATTTACTAATTTTAATATTTGAATGCAAAATGATATATTTGGTGACAGCAGGATTTCAGCATAATTGCAAACCACTCGTACCTTCATTCAGTCATTCAGCAAATGTTTGTGTTCGCTGTTTGTGTCACACTAGGAATGCAAATACAGAGGTGATTGGCAAGCTTTCTGTCCCTTATAAACCTTCTAATAGGGTGTGAGAAAATGAGAAATTATTGATTATAAGAGAAGAAAATAGAAAGTGCATTGCTGTTGGCAAAGTCTAGGGAAGAATACACAAAGACAGAACCGAACATGAATGGCAGAAGGAGGTGCGAGAATGAGAGGCTTTGGATGGGAATTGTGTGAGAAGTGACTTGGAATCAGCCAGGTGGACCAAGAAGAAAGGAAGGTAAAAGCACAAGCTTCTGAGACTTGATATTCCAGGGGCCAAGGAGAGTCTCAAGTATGACTGAGTGACACCTGGAAACGAATCAGGAGACGGAGGTGGAAAGTGCGCCTTTCCCTGTGCCTCTGTCTGTGCCCACATGCGCTGAGCACACAGGGCCTGAGCAGCAGGGAACTGTGATATGCAGCACGGCCCTGGCGGAGCAGCAGAGCTGAGAGGTGCTGGCTCCTGTGTGAAGGACAGCACTGCTCTGCAAGGTGAGGCCGAGCTTGCAGGAAGCCAACCCCGGTAGCTGGCCTGAGAGACAGGCCAGAGGGGGCAGTGCAGAACCCCAAGGCATCTGCCATCCATGGCTCACAGTGTGACTCGGGGACTAGATTCTCCTTGATTGCCACCATGATCAGGAGGCCCAACTGAGATGAAGAGGAAACTGGGATGAGGCCTCATCCAGTGCAGCCCAATGGCCAAAGAAAACGGAGACAAATCTAACAGCTGTGGCCTTGTTCCTGTGCAACCTGCAGGCCCCGTGGGGTCCTGAGGACCTGCATAGAAACCGAAGCTCGCTTCCTGTTTGAGACACAGGCACTGGGGTTGGACATTTGAAGGGACAAAGGCTAGACTTTGGGGATGAATAAATCTGGCCCAGAACATGGCTCCAGAAAAAAGAAACCTGAGCTATTTTTAGCAGAACGTCTAGTCTCAGTTTTCCAAGCTGCATACCAACCCCTATTGACCTCTGACCTGTTCCCACATTCATTTTCCTTTCCTGACCTGGAGTGTCTGACCTCTGGAAGAGAGTAGATAATGAAACTCTAGGAGGCTCCAGGCCAGTTCAGCAAAGGCCAGATGAAAAAAAGTCCACGGAAGATCAGTTGAAGGGATATGAGGGCAGCCAGGACAAAGCGGAGAGGGAGCTATGAAGAGTAGGTTCCATGTCAGAGGAAGATCAGGCAGGAAGCAGTTATAAAATATTTAGGCTTTTGAGAGCCACATTCTATCTGCATCGCTTATTGTTATTTTGGTTTGCTTTTAAAAAGATTTTTATTATTTATTTATTTGAAAGGCAGAGTTAGAAAGAATCTTGCATTTGCTGGCTCATCCCCCAAATGGCTGCCAAGGCCCAAGGCTGGGCCAGGCCAAAGGCAGGATCCTGGATGCCATTCAGGTCTTCCCCGTGGGTGCAGGGGCCCGAGCACTTGGGCCATCTTCCACTGCTTTCCCACGTGCATTAGCAGGGAGCTGGGTTGGAAGTGGAGCAGCAAAGCTTGAGCTGGCACCCACATGGGATGCTGTGGCCGTAGGTGGCAGCTTACCCCGCTATGCCACAACCGTGGCCCCCAGATGTACATTTAAAGCCTGTGTTGTGTGCTGCATTAAATGAGACCACAGCAGGCCCTGTCTAGGGAATGTACCAGAAGAGCAGTCAGCCCGGGTTTGATTGTGCTTTCCCCCAAGTGTTCATGTGTTAGGAGCTTAGCTCCCAGGGTACGATGGAATTTTAACAGGTGAGGCTACATGGAAGGGCCTGAGGATGCTGGTTTTCTGGAGTGAGTCCTTGTGAGAATGAGTTGTCATTAAAGCCTGACATGACCTCTGACTCTCTCTCAGGCTTCCTGTCTCCCAATGTGGTTTCTCCCTCTGCCAAGCATCCCTGCATTGTGATGCCATCTGCCACGAGACTCCCTGAAGCAAAGCCAGTGCTGCCACCGCCCCCTGGAACCTCAGAACCGTGAGTGCTTCTCTGTTCTCTGTAAGGTTCCTCAACCTCAGTGGTTCAGTATAGCAATGAGAAATGGGCTAATAGACAACCGAATGTTGTTAAGAATTTGGAAAGTTAAGGACCATGTACGTCACAGTCAGTTTGCTTCGTGATCATCAGAATTCGGATCAGCGTAACTGCAGTTTTGTTCACATGGTCAAGAACCGAATCCACAGGGGGACAGTAGGTTCCTGTTGCCCCACGGGTTTCCTTCCTTGCTCCTTCCCTGACCCTCTTCACGTTTCCCCACCCTGGGCCCCTTCTGTTCTTCCCTTTTAAGCTCAGTTGTGTCTCCCTGGGACATCTTCCTGCTGCATTTGTTCAAGGCCAAGGTGATGGGAACCATCTGAAAGCTTTCCTCTTACCTATTTCTCCATCAAAGGCTGTCAGTCACTTTGCTTGACAGCTGATGCTGCAGGTAGAAAGCCCTGACTTCCCTTCCTCCTAGGTCAGTGGCACAAAAGCAGAGCCTCCTAACATCTGGAAATGGGAAAACTTTTCAAAAATGACTCAGCAGTTGCTGTAGGTGAGGGATTGCCTGGTAATGATGCCTGGGGGAGTGACAGAGCAGATGTACCACACCTCCCCTAAGTCTCCTAACAAAGGATCCCTTTGCCTTCTCTCTGAGAGGGAAGAAGTGGAATAAGGAGGGAAACGGAACTCCGGCCCTTGCTGATACCATGGAGTGAGGCTCACGGAGTCCAAATCCTCTTGGAAGCCTGTATTTTCACTCTTTATTCCAACTGTCATTTCACAGTTGGCTTTCTGGGTAAAGAATGGTTTCTGCACATCTGCAAGACAATCTCTCTGCATATCTGTGCAGGAATCTTCTTCATCTGCAGCCTTGTGTACTCATGAGCTCATTTGATCCTTACAGCTGTCATACGTAATCTTTGCCATGATGATAAAAATCATTTAATTCTTACTCTGTTCCACCGAGTATCCTAGGGGTTTTAGGCTGCCTAACTTAATCCATATGAATCCTAGGATGGAGATATCTGATTGTTCCCATTTTGCAGATGCACAAGCTTAAAAGCTGGATAGTTAGTTATCTCCCTTAGACAAAGATGGTCAACTTTTCAAGGTCGTGTAGCTTTTTGATTACAGAGCTGGCATCAACGGTGAGGTGTGCTGTTAGCATCTCCCCAGTGTTTGTGTTAGGATGTTAGGTTGTTACACACTTATCTCGCTGAGCAGTGTTTCTGAAACTGTAGTTTTTTTAAGAAAAGATTTATTATTTATTTGAAGGGCAGAGTGATAGGATATTAAAGAGAAAGAGAGAGGGAGAGAGAGAGATAAAGACATGTCTTCCATCTGCTGATTCACTCCCCAAATCGCCACAACACCCAAGGCTGGGCCAGGCTAAAACTAGGAGCCTGGAACTCCATCTGTGTCTCCCACATGGATGAAAGGGGCTCAAGGACTTGGGCCATTCTCCACTGCCACCCCAGGCACATTAGCAGGGAGCTAGAGTGGAAGCAGAGCAGCAGTGTTCTAACCGGCACTCTAATATAGGATGCAGGTGTCAAAGGCTTAACCCTCTGTGCCTTACCGCCACCTCCATTGTTTCTCAGACTTCAATGTGTGCAGATTCAACTGTGAAGCTTGTTAAATGCAGATTCATGCAGTAGGTCTGGGGTGAGGCCCATGAACTTGCATTTCAGTAGCTCCTGGGTGATACTGATGCCATGGACCCAGGCTTGACACTTCATATACTTTAGCTTTTAGGACATCACTTGGAGGTGCAACCCTTGTCTCATCAGTGTCCATTTTGAGATTAAAGACCACTTTCAATAGAAGGTTTGTGTCACTGCCTCATCTTGGTAGCTCTGAACATGCTGCAAGCTAGTGCTTTGAGTGAGCAGGTGAGCTGACCATGTGAAGGCAGAGAGCAATCCATGAGCCAGGTCCTGAAGAACCTCAGAGAAGCCACATCATAGGGCCTCTAAATGCCTTTTTCTGAGAGCTGGGGAAAGCGTTGGCTGCAGAGGAAAGTCCACTCGGCGTGAGAGATGCACCAGGGGAGAGAGACCTACGCCTTGTTCCAAAGGATGCATGCTTTCCCCTCGGGTTATCAAAGCATTGCACTTCCTTTACAGATCATGTGCAAGGTATATAAAATAACGGAAGAGCTTCTCAACTCACCAAACGTTCAGAATCTAGCAAGAACCACTATTTACAACTTTTAGGTATCTCCAATGAGTTTTAAGTGAGATGAAGACATCAACTGGGAGATAAAACAGTTGAGATCTCTCTGTGCTTTTAGATTCATGTCCTGGGATTTGTTTAAAATTCCATCAGCAACATCTTCCTGTGTTGTTAAAGATTCTTTGTAAACGTCATTTTTGATGGGGCCATAGTTTTTCAATCAATTATCCCCATTGTAATTTCTTTAACTAATCCCACATTGCTGTCCTTTCTAGTTACTTTCTGAGGTTTCACTGTTAAGATCAATGTTGAAATACATCTCTGTTGATGAGTTTTGTGATTTCCTTTCAGTAAGTCCCTCAGCAGTGAAGTTAGGGGAGCAGTGGTTCCAGACATGTTTGAGAATTACTCACTGCTGCCAACTTGCCTTCCAGAACAGCTCTTCTCTGGAAAGGACATTTATGGGCATCTTCTCCAACATGTGGTCCTGGGTCCTGAGGCAGAACCCATGCTCTGGGCCTTCCTCCTCAGGGAACTTCAAAGGGTGTCAGTTTACAGTTCCTGGCATCAGCCCCTGGTTATTGCAGGCACTGAGGAGTGACCCAGTGATTGCCAGCTCTCTCTCTCTCTCTCTCTCTCTCTCTCCACACAACACACACACACACACTCACACAAGTAAGGTGTGTTCCCTGTGTCGTGTTGTACTGACTTGAGTTTCTTGCTCATGTCTGAAGCAATTCTAGTCCCACATTATGTACCAGGATTTCACAAGATTATAATGGAGCTCGACAATTCTGATCACCTGTTGGTGTCTTAGCCATTGTAGCATAGGAATGCAACACATTACTCGTGTGTGTGTGTGATGATGCCAGTATAGCTAAACCTACTGCACTGCCAGTTGTACAGCACAATTGTGTACATTATATACAATTTTTAACATTCTATTTGAGAGAGGGGGAGCTATCTCCTCCTTTCTTTCATTCCTCAAATGTGTGCAACATCAAGGCTGGGCCGAGCCAAAGGAAAGAGCTGGGAACTCAGTCTGGCTCTCCCATGTAGGTGGCAGGGACCCAACCAGTTGAGCCATCACCCGTTGCTTCTAAGGGTGCACATTTAAAAGAAGCTGGAATCAGGAGTAGAGATGGGACTTGAACCCAGACACTGTGATATGGGATGTGGGCATTCCCAGGGACATCCTCTTTTAAAGACTTGCTTTTATTCTCCAAGAGCATTTTTCAAATGATTCATTGCATTATACAGGCACTGCTTATTCCCCCTCCCTCCATCTTTTCCTTCCTTGGCTTACATTTTTACTCAGTTATTTATTCTTTTTATTTCTTCTGATTTTTAAGTTTTTAATACACAGAAAATAGAGTTCATGTGTTTCCTAGGTACATTATAAGAAATGAAACGCAGTTTCAAGTGACATCTGATATGCTGTGCTAACCACCTGTCCCTACAGTGCATAATACTGATAATGAAAATTTGCGACCATGTTACTGATTTATGTACTATGTCATACACTGTTTTAGAGTGTACTCCTTTGACTTGCAAAGGAATCTTTAAAATAGCATGCTGTGTTGGGCTTGTTGCAGCTTCATACATCTTGTAGTTACCACGTCTCTTTACTGCATCAAAAGATCACTTTATGTGGTTGGCCTATCCCATCCACGTTCATGTGATTACCCTCTGTGATGACAGCAAAATGAAGAAATGCCTGATAATGCATTGCTCAGCGTATATCCCCATCATTAAGCAACACATGAATTGTACTATATTCTGATGGAGATTGCCTTTGTCCTGTGTTTTCTGTACAGAGCCCCAGTGACCATGCAAGGGGCAGATCTGTGATGCATTATTAATTAGGCCTATTCCCCTAAGCAGTGGTGGGAGTGGGACTGTTGAGAAAGGGAGGAGGGCAGTATGTGGCAGAGCTGGTTAAGCCTCTGCCTGTAGTGCTGGCATCCCAGATGCGTGTTGGTCTGAGTTCCACATGCTCCACTTCTGATCCAGCTCCCTGCTAACACACCTAGAAAAGCAACAGAGGATGGCCCAAGTGCTTGGGCTGCTGTCCCCCACGTGGAAGATCTGGATGGGGTTACAGGCTCCTGGCTTCGACCTGGCCCAGCACCAGCTGTTGTGGTCATTTGGGGAGTGAGCTAGCAGGTGAAAAGTCACTCTCTCTCTCCCTCCCTCTCCTGTTTCCGCTCCCTCTCCTTCTCTCTCTGTAACTCTGTCTTTAGAATAAATAAACTACTGACTTTCCAATGAATAAGATCCAAGTTGAGGATCCTACATCAATGAATATGTTTTCCATAAAACCAAGCATAGTGGAAGTTCTTGGGTTTTGGCTTCTAGATGACAGACACATCGGAGTTTCTAGATTGCATTTTATTTCACCTATAACCTGTTCCTCAGAGACTGATTCACTCTAGCTCAGAAGGCTCGTGATGTGCTCCTCTGCTGCGTCCTACCATTGTTCCCTGCTTTCTTCCAGAGTCAGGGCAGTCCTTCCCCAGGGGCAGGCTCACCTCTGGCGTTTGGCTGTTTGCTGTTCTATTGCCTGGGATGCTTCTTCTCCCCATACAGACAGAGTCCTTCAAAATGTTCTTGGAGCAGTGGAGTGCAAGAAAAGTTAAATGTTGGTGCATAGAGTTTTTGGGCCCATGCATAATTTTACCATAAATAGTGCACTTGCTCTGAAATTGTTGATATTCCGTGTACTTGCACTTGAATGGCTCCTTTCCCATTGTCATCAACTCTCTGCTCAAATACTTCTCTGGAGAGAACCTTTCCCAGGGTGATTACTTTAAAATAATGTCCAGTCTCTCTTAGCACTGCTTTATTTTCCTATTGTTCCTACATTCTGACGTGGTGGGGTATTTATTTGCTTATTAACCATGCCCTAGTCTGTGTGGTTCGCAGCTGTAACTCTAGCACCTGGATGAACTGGCATGTAGCAGATTCCCAGAAGACATATATGGAATTGGAGAATTTTAATGTGAATTTGTTTTATTTTTAGTTTCTTTGTTATGAAAGACTACTCGTATGCATGCATCCAAATTCATTATCAATTTAGAACACATTTAGTAGGATCTATTATATGCATAGAACTGTTCCTTTTTTCCAAAGCTGCTTTGCCTATTTTGCCTATTAGGTTCTTTGCATTTCTGTATGATTTTACAACAAACTGGCCATGTTTCCAGAAAAAAGAAAAAAAAGTTCTGCTAGATTTGGTTAGGGATTGTTTGAATCCTTTGATCATTTTTGGTAAAATGGCATCTGACAATATTGAGTCTCCCAATCCATAAACATGGAGTGGCTCTTAGTTTATTCATGTCTTCTTAGGTTCCTTTGGTCATGTTTTTAGTTTTCCATGTCCAGCCCTCCAACTTCTGTGGATTCTGCAGTTGTGACTTGAATCAATTAGGCCTGAAAATATTTGCCAAAACAAAATTGCACTGTATTGAACACTGTCCAGTGTTTTTTCCTTTATATTATTCCTAAACAGCATGGTCCAAGAACTGTTTACAATAGCATTTACAATCGTATTGGGTAATATAAGATCTAGAAGTGACCAAAGTATACAAGAGGACAGTGCATACGTTGTATGCAAAGACTATGCCCTTGTACTGAAGGACTTCAGCAGCACGGTTTTAGTATTCTCGGGAAGTCCTGGAAACAATGCCCCACAGTTACTAAAGGATGTCTGTATAGGAATGTATTATTTTTCTCATATATTTTTTCAGTGCTGTCGTGAACAGAATCGTTTCTTAATTTCACACTTGGATTATTCATTGTTCACATATGTAGTTAACCTTGATTTTTATATACTGATTTGGAACTCAGAGACCTTGCTGATCTCTATTTTTAGTTCTGGTCACTTTGTGTTTCTTAAAACATTCCATATATGAGATTGTACATGCAAATAAAGACAGCCTTACATCTGTTTTCCACTGTGAATAGAGCTTATTTCAGTGTGATAGTACTGGATATAATTTCTAGAACAATGTAGAATGAGAGTGGCAAGAGCTGAAATCTATGCATGCTGTGGATCCTAGGGAGACCACATTCAGTCTCCCATCCTTGAGTATGATATGGGGAGTAGGGTTTCCATAGAAGCCACTTGTCATGTTGAAGACAATTGGAAACTATTTTTAAACTGCATGACAGTGAAAGCATACATAGATTAGTGGGATACTAAGCCTAATATTTAACATAATTGATCTGTCATTGCTCATACCACCACTCTACCATCACAAAGGTTTCAACTTAGTGATACCCAGTGTTTCTGCCACTGGCATTTTGGATGGGTATTCTTTGTTTGTGACTGTCCTGTGCTTTGTAGGGAGTTTAGCACCACCCTGGTATTCTAAAGACTAAATGTTGATGGTGCACACCTATTAAAGTTGTGGTAGTTGTTCTAGCTGGGATCCAGTGCCAGTGGATTTTCTTAGTTACCTTTTCCTCTGAAAATGTGCGTATTTTATAGTTACTCTTAAAGTGGTAGGATTCTGTGTTGATTATTTTTCTCTCATAAATTTAAAAATGTGTTGACACTGTCTTCTGAACTCCATCGTGGTCATCAAATCAGTATTCTCCATATGTACTGTGTTATTTTTCTCTGAATGTCTTTAAAATTTTCCCTTTTTTTGTTTCAGCATGTTAGCTGGTATTCCTAGGAGTGTGTGTGTGTGTGTGGGTGTGTGTGAGAGAGAGAGAGAGAGAGAAGGGAGAGAGGGGGAGAGTTTAAATTGTATTGGTTTAAATGTGCTTATTAATTCTGTAAATGCATGATGTCATTCCCCACAGAAGTGGAATGAAGTCTCCATCTGAAAACAAAAACAAAACTAGTGCATGTATGAAGTCTGATAATGCCAAACACACACCAGTGGAGTTTGAATTTATTACTCATCTAATGCAACTCTCTGGAGAGAGTAGGGCAGGTTTCCCAAGCAGATATGAAATGACGTGAAAGAGCAAGGCAAGGGATTGGCTTGGGTATTTTACTGTGTGGAGGGATTAAGGCCAGGATGAATGATCCT